GAAGAACTTTATAAGGAAGCACCAAAGTTTCATGCAGGACGTCCTTTTCGCTAACGTTAAGCTCTTNCAAAAAACATTTTAATTATTAATATACTTGATTCAAATATAAATTTATATATAATACCTCGTCATTGCTTCAATTCTATTCATAACTTTCGCGTTGTATACAGAAGGAAATATGGTTGGAATGTAACTCGGACTCGATGCTTCCTCTGATTTTTTATTTTTAATGAAATGCTCACTGCAAAGGCTTTGGATACCATGGTGATCCATCCGGACTGGAAATTAGTTCAGTTACTTTACTTTTTCCAATGATTTTTTCATAACATAAATCACGAATAATGTGCTTGCTTTTCTCTGTCAAACGCTACAGAGTGAGGTTATGGGACTTACTTTTTTCTCCTCACAGCTACAATCCATTTGTTTCTCTGCTCCACTTTATGCTTTGCTGTTGGAAATTGATAAAATTTGCACTTGTTGCGAATACCATTATTTTTTCAATTCACTACACAACAAGTCGAACGGCCCATTTTTTTAAAAACACAATGCTAATCGTACGGAAAACTTCCCGGATTATTTTTCCTGTTCGCCACCGCCGCGCTGGGGTAGATTCACTTATCCCCTCCAAAGACTTGCACGGGGCGAATAGCGATTATTACGAAGGAGTTTTGTTGTTTTATATGGTCCGAGAAACTTATTGCAACTGGGTGGTCTACTTTATATTGCGTCGTTTTCTTTTTTTTCTTATTAAATGATTTCTGGTTTTCTTCTTGAATTTTGGTTATATTTCTTTTTGCTTCAAGCCGCAATTCGTCGCGCTGCTCCTCAAACATCTTTATACATTCTGTTCAGACCAGGGTACATTTACCTGCCGTTTCCTTGAAGCATTAAGTTGGAAATTCAAATATTCAATTTTGTTGGTTTTTACAAATATTATACGTAAGTGGTTTAGGTGTAATTTTAGCGTATCGAACTTTGCAGGTAACAATATCTTTAAGATACTTTATCTTCAAGTACTTAAATAATATTAGAAACCAGTTGGTTAGCACTTTCACCCCTTCCTCTATCAGAGTGGAGATTATGTTATAAATAGGCTGACACACTCATAATGAGACATCAAAATAGAGGCAACATCAAAAAAGAACAGAGATACAGCAACAAAGAACAATTAAGACAACAACATACAACAATTAGTAGCATCAGTGTAATCATCAAGTTCAGGGTCTTCAATATATGTAGTAACTGTATATATGTAAATAAATATTACTAAGTGCAGTTATTGGTGTTATTCATCACTGAGGTAAATTATTTGCACTTACAATCCTTCGAAAATTTCGTATGCTCCCTCATAGGAGAAAGAAGTGGCGCGGCTGCGCAAAATAAATAAAACATTGGTCCTTCGAGCCGGATATTAGTGCAAATAATAATTTCGTGTGAAATTGTATCATCATATCAGCAATCATCAAGCAGAAGTCCCTTCGAATCATCACGTAATCAACAATCATCATCATAAGCGGCAAATCAACCACAGTTCGCTTCGCACTCCAAATCACATAGGATCATTATCAATACAAGCATCTTCACGGCATATATAAGGTAAGTGCGACATCCTATTATTTATCCCATCCTACTTGTATCGCTTTAATCATTTATATAAACATGGAAGATCTAAGGACTTTAATTTCACAAAGGGCTCAACTCAAATCCCGTTTAACCAGATTCAAAAATAGTGTAACGCCATTTCAGAAATTACTTCAATTAATAGTGAGCACGTAACTGAAATTAAAGATAGGCTTTCTAATATCAATAATATCTTGGTAGAGTACGAACAAATTCACTTTAAAATAATTAGCATATCCGATGACATCGCGCATGAAAATGATATAGAACAATTTGAGCGTTCATTTTATGAAACCACGGCATTTGCTAAAACTTTGATTGCTAACGTGTCGATCAAAGAACAAAGTCAATCAGATAGTAAAAATAATGAAAAAGAACCAGTTGGTGACCTGCTAAAGTTGCCAAGCATTAGTTTACCTACCTTCAATGGTCAGTTTGAAGGGTGGTTAGAGTTTCACGATGCCTTTGATGCGCTTATAAATAAGAATTCTAAATTATCCAACATACATAAATTTTATTACTTGTTATCGGCAGTTAAGGGTGACGCTGCTCAATCACTTAAAACATTAAAAATATCATCGGACAATTATGAGGTAGCTTGGGATTTGCTCAAACGAAGGTATGAGAATAAAAAATTAATCGTGCAGAACAGTATTAAATCATTATTTAACATAGAACCAATGAGAAAGGACACCTATAACTCCTTGCAATACTTATTAGATGATACGTTAAAATTAATTCAGTGTTTGAAAACTTACGAACAACCCACTTTAGATACTATTTTAATTTACATCATAAGTTCTAAGTTAAGTAATAGTACTAGGCATGAATGGGAATCCTTAACGTTAAAAAGTGAATTTCCGACCTTTACAGAGTTCACTAAATTTCTAGAAAGTAGATGTAGCATACTAGGTTCATTAGAAGTCAACAAGACCAATCATAACGTATTTAGCACCAACAGTAAGCCAATAAACAATCATTCAAAATCATATGTTAGCACTTCTTCGAATTATTGTCATTTTTGCAAGGTATCTGAACATAGCATTTATAATTGTAAAGCATTTTTAAACTTAAGTGTAAACAAACGTATCATAGAAATCAAACGTCTCCGACTATGTTTAAATTTCTTTAGGAAGAATCATTTTTTGAAAGACTGCCTTGCACAAAAATGTAAAAAATGTAATAAGAAACACAACACCCTCGTTCATATTGAAGAACGGGACAACAAGCAAAATATTTGTCAGAACAATGAACCAGAAGATAATAATCACAATTCTGATAACTCAGCAGGACCGCCCAGTAGTAGTAACGTCAGTAACGTATCTGTAACAAAGGCCGTCTCCTATACAAACTATTCCGTAGGTAATGCTCCGTCAATTCAAACATTATTGTCAACCGTATGTGTTAATGTATTCGATTGTCATGGTTCATTTCAAAAATGCAGAATTTTATTAGACGTAGGCTCACAATCGAACTTCATCACTAAATCAGCGTGCATAAGACTTGGGCTCCAAAAATCCGAATGTAACTTATCCGTATGTGGTATAGGCGAAACAGTAGCTAATATACGATTCCGAACTTCAGTAAGGATCAAATCTCGTGCTAGCGATTATGTTAGGGAAATTTCATGTTTCATCTTGGACAGAATAACCGACAACATACCGATTATTCCATTCAAGTTAAGTGATTTAAAAATACCCACAAATATTAAACTGGCCGATAGTAATTGCAATGTTCCAGGTAATGTAGATATCCTTATCGGAGCCGGTTTGTTCTGGGAATTGCTTAACGTAGGTAGAATTAAGTTAGGTAAAAACAAGTCAATATTACAAAACACAAAATTAGGTTGGATTTTAGGGGGAGATATATATGAAACAAATAATCAGGATAACCAAGGAAACCATATTGTGTCTTGTTGTAGCATCCAAGATAGTAACACTATTTTAAGCAACCAGTTAGAGAAATTTTGGGAATTAGACAACTTTGAATATAAAAAATATGATAATTACTCTAAAGAAGAAGCATTTTGCGAGGATCATTTCGTCGCAACGCATCGACGAAATGAAGAGGGTAGATTTATAGTTAGCATACCATTTAAGCGTTCGGTTAGCGAATTAGGAGACTCTAAACAATTAGCTTTAAAACGATTTTACTCAATAGAAAGAAAATTATCAAAAAAGGTAATCGATTCTTTAGGTATTAAATTCCATCAGCAACTTTATTGGTGTGATTCAAAAATAACATTAGCATCGTTAGCAAAATCACCCTTTAATTGGAAGATTTTCGTAGCAAATAGAGTGTCAGAGATTCAAGCGTTGACAAATTACAATGATTGGAGGCATATAGCTTCTAAAAGCAATCCTGCTGATCTCGTAACTCGCGGTATGTCAGCTAAACAACTTAAAACCTCACAGTTGTGGTGGAATGCTTCACATTGGCTTTCATGCGACGAAACTCAATGGCCGATTAGTACGATTGTAGATACAACGGCACCTGAAGAAAGGATCATAGCTAACGTTTCGACTTGTCAGGATCCATTAAAGTTATTTTCTAAATATTCACAACTAAATAAACTCAAACGAATAGTTGCTTATTGCTTACGTTTTGCATATAATAGTAAACACAAAATAGAATATAGGCGCAGGGGTGCGCTAACAAGTTTCGAAATTAAAAATTCATTAAACGTGCTGATAAAATACGCCCAATTGCAAACATATAACCGCGAGATAAATGATTTAGCAAGAAAGGGGAAAATAGAAAACACAAGTAAATTATTGTCGCTTAACCCCATTTTACATGAAGACCAAATATTGCGAGTAGGAGGTCGTCTTCAAAATTCATTATTCTGTCGTAATAAAAAGCATCCGATCATTCTTCCTCCTAGTCATTTATTGACTAATATGATTATCACAAGTGAACATATTAGGCTGCTTCATTGCGGAGTGAATCAGGTACTAGCATCATTGCGCGAACAGTATTGGCCAATCTCTGGTAAAAATACTGTAAAAAAAGTATTGCATAATTGCATTCCATGTTTTCGAGCAAACCCTAAGACTACTGCACCTTTGATGGGATCATTACCCCAAACCCGCGTAACACCAGCACCTCCTTTCCACAACTGTGGCTTGGATTACGCTGGTCCTGTCATTAGTAGAGACAGAAAGGGACGTGGGGCGAAATCATTAAAATGTTATATATGCGTATTTGTATGTTTCGCAACTAAGGCAATACACCTCGAACTCATAACAAGTCTAAGTGCAGAAACATGCTTGGCTACCTTACGCAGGTTCACATCCAGGCGCGGCGTTCCCTTAAACATATATTCAGACAATGGTACGAATTTTGTCGGTACGAAGTCTATGCTAAAGGATCTCTATAACATGCTAAACGATCCCAGTAATATTTCAGCAATAAAAAATACTTTAAACGAGGTTGGCGTAACATGGCATCTTATTCCTGCCCGTTCTCCACATTTCGGTGGACTTTGGGAGGCGGGTGTCAAATCTGTGAAACGGCATTTGATGCGAGTTGGCAGTCAAACGTCTTTAACTTACGAAGAATATAATACTCTTCTAATACAGATTGAAGCGATACTAAATTCACGCCCTATTTCTCCATTATCAAATGACCCTAATGACCCTAATCCTTTAACTCCATCTCACTTTTTAATCGGTCGCACTCTTACTTCCTTGCCGGAGCCATCACTAGCTGATGTAAGCGACAACCGTCTGAGCAAATTCGAACATGTGCAGAAAATCAAGCAGCATTTCTGGAAGCGGTGGAGCAAGGAATATGTGAGCGAGCTCCAATCCAGGACGAAATGGAAGCAACAGCAAGAGGCTTTACTGCAAGAGGGTGCTCTAGTAGTGCTAAAGGAGGACAATCTGCCTCCTCTAAAATGGCGGCTCGGATGAGTGACGGAGGTCCACCCAGGGACCGACAAAATTGTTAGAGTGGTATCCGTGAAGATTGGTAGTGGCTCGATCATAAAGAGAGCAGTGAACAAAGTGTGCGTTCTCCCGTTAAACAATGCGTGAATACAAGGACTATTAATAAAGAGAAACTTTATTAGGTTAACGTAGATTTAGATTTATTACCATTAATATCCTTAATTATTGCCTACTTATATGTGTTTGTTAATCATTTATGTTTCTTAATTATTT